AGCAGATGCTAATGCATTCACTTTGTTATTAGAAGGGAAACCAAGGTAAGCCATTGTTAATTAGAATATTGGGATTCACTCAACAATAGTACTTGAGTCTAAACAGCTAGGGCATTAAGATATTCCTGTATTTTGAAGAGCTATATTTTCATATATTGCCACTGATGCTTAAGTTTTTAATAACATTTTGTATTCTTAAAGAAAAGCTTGTAACTGTCAAAGTAGTTAATGGCAGTTCATTTGTCAGTACAAAACTATGATGCAGCTAAATAGAGGGACTTTTGAAAGTATCCAGAAAGCAGGTGTTGCTTTTCATAATGTTGGTATACTATACAGAAAGATTTTGTTTTCTGATCGAGTTTGAGGAACAAACATTTGGGGAATTCAGTAATTTAATATTTGGCACTAAATACGTTTGAGAATTTATTGGAATAATGTAGAGTGGCAGTATCATGCATTGAACTTCTGCTTTTGCATTTAATTTGGTATATATATACATAATCAAGTATGGGAGCACTTGAGATTGTTTAATATCTTCTTTTTCAGTCCAGTGAAATGCCAAAATTGACTGAACAGTTGGCAGGACCACTTCGGCAAATGCAGGTAATTAGAAATCTGTCTGAGCTCAGGGTTAGTTAACACAAGCAAAGCTCATGAATAATGTATAAGTGTAAAGACCTAATTTTGCATCATCAGTGAATTCAGCTGGTACTGCATGTGATTTTGCAACGTGTAATTAATAATAGGTTATATGGTTTGCAAGAAATCTTTATGCTAATTTAGAACATGCCTCTAAAAGTTTTATAAAGCTTGCTTGCTACACCGTAGATTCTTAGTGTAGGCAGACTTCATGTAAACAGTGGTTTACTTTCTGATTATTTCTGAGTAATTTCACACTAAAAAGAAAACTTCATCCTGTAACGCAGTACCTAATAATGTGCATGTCTTTTTGTCACTTAAATTCTTACTCTGGTTAAGGGTAATATAAATAAAAAATACTTTCTTTTAAAGGAGTGTGCAAAAAGAATCGCCAAGGTGTCAGCAGAAGCAAAACTGGAAACTGATGAAGAAAATTACTTGAATTCTTTCAGACCCAACCTAATGGATGTTGTGTATACATGGGCAAATGGAGCTAACTTTGCTCACATCTGCAAAATGACAGATGTCTTTGAAGGTAGGCTAATCAGTTGTTCTTTAGAAGGTATGAGTTGGTAGTTCTACAACAGGGAATGGTAATACTGAATAACCTTATCGTAAACTCAGATGTATTCAAACATCTGTATGGCTAAAATCAAGTGGGGAAAAATTCCTTACTATATATTTAAATTTATACTTACACACTGATGATGATTTAGGATTTAGAATCCCTTTTTAAAGGGATATCTCTGTATTCTAAAAACTTCATAAAACTCAGAAATTCTAAGCATTACAACAAAAGGTAATGCTTACTTTTTCTAGTTAAAGGGAAAAAAAAAACATGTTCCAAATGCTTGTCATCAGGAAGTACAGGTCTTGCATTTGTCCTCATTATATTTTTTTTTAATTTGGTATAACCAGTTCTTCCTGCTGACTTAATGATGACAGAAGTGAAAAGTGGTAACCAAGTCTCTCTTTTGAATAGTTTTGCACAGAAGTGCTATGGAGATAGTTGCAAAGCCTAGATATAACATGTCAGGTGGATTAATTTGATTCCTAAAACTGAAGTACTAGAAACGGCCTCTTGACGAAGAATACTTTGTTTTCACTTTGAAAAGTATGGTGATTTACAGACCTGATATTTTGTAAAAACAAACCATCCAAAGGGTTGTCAAACAAGAATGGTCAATACTAAAGGTCAGGCTAGAATGAAAAACCAGCCTGTTGGAAGTTATGAAGAGCAGGATGGATGCGCCACTCTTAGAAGTCTTCCTTTTTGAAATTGTTAGTGTCACTGTTGCGTCCCTCAAATGCTGTTTTCTTCTTCTCAAAGGTTTGCAGATTCCCTTGTAACAAGGGAATTCATGCACATTATTCATGCATGTAATCCAATGCATAGACCCAGTAATTTTCTGAGGAAAGTTGCTTTTGAGCAGTACAAATCCTGGCAGTCTTTGCTTCTGCAGTCAGCAGATTCCTCCTATTTCAATGAGTATTTGAGCCTCCTATTTGCTATGGAGGCACCCTGCATATGTGGAACATTGAAGCAGCTGGCTTATGTTTTACATTGACATTTTAATGTTCAGAATACACTGGGCAGTAACATTTTCCATTTAACCACATTTGTACTAAGACAGTTAGCTTTGTTCTACTCAATAGTGCCAGCTTCCTCAAAATGAGATCTTAGTGGCCTGTTTTGAGGTCATCTCTTGTAACAGGGGTTAATGCATGATTCTTCCCTTAACTTTCAGTAGGCTGGTTTTCTGTGCTTTCTGTCCTTATCCAAAAGGAAGGGAAGCACTTCAGACATCCATTGTTGGTTATGTGTGCCTTAAATGGATTGTGTTCCTAAATCCCAGAGTAGTTTTCCTTGGTTATCCAAGTAACTGTAGTGATTTAAAAGAAAAACAGAATACAAAATAAGCCTAAGTGTTCCAAGAACAAGTGTGTTTGCCACAAAGTGGAGTAGCATTGATATGCTTATGAAAATACCTTGTCTTTAAGCTAAAATATGTGGTGGGAAGAAATAAAAATAAGAGCAGCTTTTTAAAGCCATTAGGGAAGAACACTAAACGGAGTTAAATATCCTATCTGTTAACTGCAGACCAGCTCCTGCTGGTACTTCCATACTTTATGGAAGTATAAATAATAATTCATTTTAAAATTGCAGTTTTCTTTTTCTTGAACATAAAACTATGTCTGCAACACCCCAGCTACGCTGCCTGTAACGAGTACTCCCTGGAACGGCTGTCACGGTTGGCCTTGTAAATGGAGACAAGCAGGGTCTTTGACAGCTGAGCCAGCACAGTGCAGCACAGCCATGCTCGGGGCAGCTGCCATCAGGTCCCTTGTGTTGGTGTGTGCTCTGTGCTCAGTAGCCTGTGGGTGGGCTTTTCCATCTCCTGTCATTGCAACAGGTTTTACAAACTGCTGCTCTTACTCAAACTGTTCTCACTGTAGAAACTGTCATGGCCTAGTGCGCCCCTATGAATGCTTTTTAGAAGAGAAGTATTAACTTTATCATGTCCCACTTTCCCAAGAGCTATGAACAATGCTCTTTTCATATTGGTTTTTTTTTCCCCAAATATTATATCTTAAGGGTGTAATAGAAAGGTTGTAGAAACCAAACCCCCTCCAGTGAGCAGAGACTCAGATCTTCCCCTAAATTTGGTTGCTCAGAGCCCCATCCAACATGACCTTGAATGTTTACATGTATTGAAAGGTCACAATAAGGTCTCCCTGGAGCCTTCTCTTCTCTAGGCTGAACAACCCCAACTCTCTCAGCCTGTCCTCAAAGGAGACCTGTTCCATCTCTGATCATCCTGGTGGCCCTCCTCTGGACTCGCTCCAACAGGTTGATGTCCTTCCTGTGCTGGGGACCCCAGAGCTGGATGCAGCACTGCAGGTGGGGTCTCATGAGAGCAGAGAGGCAGAATCACCTCTCTTGCCCTGCTGGCCACACTGCTTTGGATATAATTGGCTTTCTGGGCTGCAAGTGCACATTGATGGGTCATATAGAGCCTGTCATCCAGCAGCACCCCCAAGTCCTTCTCAGCAGGGCTGTTCTCAAGCCCTTCATCTCATATTTACCCATTAACAGTTATTTTGCCTACAGTAATTTTGACTGTCGGAGATGCTGCTGGAGGAGATGACCAAACAGGATGCTGTTTGCTTGTGGCCAGAAGAGCAGAAGCATTTAGAGTTGTTTTGTGAAATTTGTAGCAGTGACTTGGGCTAAGCTGTGAGGAAAGTTCAAAAAGGAGATAAATGCATAATAAATCACAAGTGGGTTGGGTTGCAGTGTAGGAGCTGTGGCAAGATGCTTGTGTGTATTATTGTAACCATGCAATGGCTTGGTAGAGTGGTCCATGGACTCTTGAGTAGCTCAGGATTGGTAAGATAGATCACTTACTGTTTTACTGCCTTTGCCAACAAAAGAACTAAGGCTTATAAAAACAGTCCCAAAATAAACCTGTGGTAATTCTTGAAGCAGCTAAGTTGTGAATCTCCTACTGGTCTATGTTTTTTGAGGAAGTCTTAACAAGTTCTTGAAAGAAAAAGTCGGCTAGGAATTACTCAACAGCCCAGAAAGTAGTGTGATTAGATATTAGTTAGAGAATGTAAAGACACTAGAAAGGACAAGCATTTGGAAACAGCTTCAAGGAAATGCCTCACAAAGAAATTTACTGTGCAAACAGAAACTAAGTTTAAGACATTTGGCTTCTAGATAAATTGACCAGGGTTGTAGAAGGAACGATTACTTTGAGTAATTCAGGAGCAGTTACATGATGTGGCACAACGTTGTCCCTTGCTCTTTCATACAGGTAGCATAATTCGTTGTATGAGGCGGCTAGAAGAACTGCTTCGGCAGATGTGCCAGGCTGCAAAAGCCATTGGGAACACAGAACTGGAAAATAAATTTGCAGAGGGTATGTACTTCATTTTCACAGTACATTAAGCAATTTTAGAAGGAAAAGTGATGGGAGAAGGGGCTGGACAGATTGTGAGGACTGAAGGTGAATCGTTTTGTAATGCGAACTTCTTGTGTTGACATCGTGGTAAACAGCACCATTGCTGTTATATTTCCAGATAACATCTTTATTACGAAGTTTGACTTAAAGGGTGGCTAAAAATGGGTGTACAATTACTTCCATTTAATAACCTGTAACATGCTTATAACTGTACTTTAACTAGCGTTTGTGTCAGTTAAGACTTTTCTATATTAATATTTTTTTCCTTCTTAATAGGGATTACAAAAATCAAGAGAGATATTGTGTTTGCTGCAAGCCTTTACCTGTAACAGCAGATGTCTTCCAGAAACTATACTGACATGATGGAACAAATTCATCAGTGTCACATGTGGCTTCCATATCAAGTAATTCCTTTTAATGGTGTTTACTTAAACCACAGTTGATTCAACAAGGCATGTACAAACAGCAGTGTATGTAATATAATTTGTTACAGTTTTCAATAAAAATTTACAATTGTAATAGCTTTCTTTTAAGCAAGAGCTTGAACCAACAGAAATTTAAAGTTTAGATGTACAATAACTGTGGTAGATGTTACTATATACAGGTAAAGTGAGCATCCAAGAGCAGCAGCAGTCCCTTAAAGGCAATTACTTATATTACAGAGTTAGACTTGTGAAATTGTTTTCATTCAGAGCAATACAGGTGATATGGGTCATTCTTCATGGTTGATGATTGCTGCCAAAGTGATTTCCATTTGTTGGAGTCTCATGTAGGGTTGTATGGGAATCTTCTTTTGGTTGAAATGTACATCCTCTCACTTTGAAGAAGTCTGACACATAGACAACCTAAGTGAACAAATTAGTGTTTAGCATTAATCAGTGTTAGATTATTCCTGCACTCACAAGTCTTTGAAACAAGGGCTCTGCAGCTGGCAGATTCTATGATCAAAACTAAGTTTAATCAGTTTAAAACATTAGAAAATGGCAGGGAAGTCTTGTACAAAATTCAGACATCTGTTCTTTTAATTGCTTTTTCACCTTGCCATTGACCATTTAGCCACTGATGGTTTAAGCCAAAGTCAAGGCTTGTGCCAACTGACTGCCTTACCAGGCACTGTTTAATTACAACAGCCATAGTTTGAACAGCTCTAAATGAAGGAGCAAAATGTGCTTTTTGAGGGCCCACAATGCAAGTTCAGTTAAATTTTTTTTCTGTAATTTAGGTGGAACAGAACAGGAGACATGGTGCTTTAGCTGGACCCAGCATCTGTAAGGCCAGCTCTACCTATGTAGTCCTTTCCTGCAGTCTTTTAAACATACCACCTCACTTCTTCACAGCTAGGAGACATCTCCCTCACTACAAGAGAGGTGGTTTGATCTAATTCTGCAGCTTGCTGTCTTCCACTGCTCATTTCACCCAGCCCCACAGCAGATGTGCTGGGCATAGTGCTACCTGGAGTGCAATAAGTGAGAGCCTCACGTGCTCCTTTCCCTTCCTGTATGGTCTTCCCCTTCCACTGCAACCCTGAGAACTGTGGAACACTTGAATGTCCTTGGCAGAAGAAACAATCTCCCACCACGCTGGCAGCTGGCTGATGATCCAGTACACTGCTTTAGCCACAGACCAGGGGAGTTTCAGCTTCCACTTAATGCCAGATTCCCTCAGTTCAAGTCAGTGATATATTTGCACTTGCTGTGCTGCAATGCTCTAACCTCAGCTTGCTGGTTTTGTAGAGGAACTCATCAGTTCTTTCAGATAAGAGTCTGAGGGTGGTGGTTGGTGCTAGTGTATATTTTTAAAAATAATTTCCTGACCTTTCAACTGTACTCTCTGTAATGCTACTTTCTACTCTTTCTTGTATTACCAAGCACCTTCTGAATCATCCAACATCCCTGACTAAACTTGTTTTCCTAATAAAAGTGTCCTGACCTCTTTGATCTCTGTTGTTTCTTTCTCTCTGTACTCTGTTTCTTAGAAAAAGGGGTAGGATTATGCCAACATGTTGCCATTTAGTAACAGCTAATGCAGCCTGTACGATTTCCCAGAGCTGCTCCAAGATTGGATAATTGATTGCAACTAGTAGACAGCTTTGTCTTGAACCCTTCTGACCTGAGAAAGCTGACAAAGCATTTATTGTGGAGGTGGTTCTTCCCAGCTGAGCCTCAGTTCTTAATAACTGAATCCTTCAGTAAGACCTCAGTTCATTCCCATTGATCCAAAAGTCCTAATTTATCTATGGATGAATTAGCCATTGCACTGGTGATACCCAGTACAATTGTTGTCACTAAGTCAACTGGGCCTGCTGTGACAAGTTTAGGCAGGTGTCTGTTTCCTGGGATAACTTTAATACTCATCAGTACAGCTAAGCTTCACATGTTGTTTGTTGTGAACACATTTTTAGTACTAGGAATGCACACAAGAAATGGTGAAGGGCTTTAGTTTCCCATCAGACTGAAAAAAACACACTGTGTAAGGTGGCAAAGGCAGACACTTTGGTGCTGTACTCATTCAAGGCATTTTCTCCCATTAACTTTATAAAACTTACTTTATAAAACATACTTTATATTATGTTCTCTGCTATTGTACTTGGGATTTCAAATGTCGCTAGAAGCAAAAAGCTTGATTTATATAGAGAGGCCTTGGTTTGGAGTTACCATTTCTATCTTAGTTATTTGAAAAGCTCTTGAGCAGAGGCAATGTCATGTTGTCCAATGGCTAAAACTACCATTTATCTCATTGGCCTGCCTCACTCCCCAAAGTACTATTGCTACACCCAGTTCAAGGAGTTGTTTCTCTGTTTCAGCAATTTCTGAAGCGTTAGAAATACAGGTTTGCTTTCCTGTGAACACAGCCTGCAATTCTAAGGTGCTGTTCATAAAAGCAGCATTCACACCCACCCGCCCCCTCAGGAATTACTTACAATGAGCACAGCTACCACTGCACCCTGGATAAGTCCTGTTAAAACATCACTCCAGTGATGCTTGTAGTCAGAAACACGTGAGAGACCCACATAGATAGATGCAGCAATAAGACCAAACTGTAAAGTAGGACGTACGAGTCTTGCCCAGTCTCCTTTCATTCTTGCCTGAAGATAAAGCTGAAAGAAAAAGAGAAATTAGTTACAAAATGCAGAAAACACAGATACAGTAAAATTGTGTTGGGTCTTTTCAAAGAGTTGATTGAAATTTTATTGAAATAATATTCACAGCTGTTCTAGGTGCTATAGTTATACTCTTAAGGCTGCCAAGGCAGGGTTTGATAGTTTTGAACTTTAATTTATATATGACACCATCATATTGTTCCATTTGTACCAATATGACAAATGAGTATTTTCAGGATAAAGGTCCTGGTAATACTAGAGCCACTTAAGGCTTAAAAAGAATCCAGTGGAAGTCAAACCAGTATTTCACTCCTGCATGAACTACAGGTAAGCCTTATACACAAAATAGTTTACATTTACTATTCATAGAGCTGACAAGTTTTTAAACTTCATTCTCAATTGCAGTCACCTTTAGTATTATCAACTTCTGGCATAGCATTGCAGCTGTAGCTAAGTATCAGAGCTAACTTGATGTAATGATAGCATTTCTCAGTTGTCACTGGTATATTTCACTGAGCTGTGTTCCTCACCCTTTTCAGCTGCCTATTAACCATGCTACCACTCTGGTGGATATTTGAAGTTCTCATGTATTTTCCCTCCCCTCAGGTCTGCTTTTGTCGTGTATATCTATGTTTTTGATGTATTATCTCCATTTTGCAGTATTTATTATTTCCTATCTAATCTAATCCAAGACCCTGCCTCTGTTTCTTCTGTGGTCTGTCTAGGATCTGTCTGTCTACATCTATCTAGCTCTCTAGTTTCTCCAAATACATTCTGTAAACATAATTGAATTTATTCTGAAACTTAATCCTATCACCAAAGAAAGCACCATAGTTACTGCATTCACTGACAAAACAATACATTTGGAAGTTATGTTTAACATTTTAAGTATATCTTCACGGAGACACTTAGAAACTTCAGGCCAAGGACAAAAGCTTAGCTGACAGTCTTGAGAAAAGCAGAAACCAGCACACAAGCAGCACTGGTGCCTGATGGTAAAACCCTCCACTGCCAACTTCAAAAGCCATGGCTAACTTTGAGAAGCAGTACATTTACCATGTAAATACAGGCACAGAGAAGACACTGTAAATGCAGAGGTGATACTTTCCAAAGTTAAACATTTGGGGAATGTTTCTCTTAGTAACTTACATCATAATTTTGGCCTGCTGACATTTTCAGCTATAAATGGAGCATCAAAAACATCAACCCTATCCATAAACAGTTTTCTTTAATAGCAAGGTCAGGGTAGAATCAGACTCTAAAGAAGCTACACCTAAGACTAAACTGAAAAATATTTTTTCCCCTTCAAATTGGTGGGCACTGCATATTTCTGTGGGCCTCAAACTCACCACTAGGGAAAATACAGTTTAGCCACTTCAGAAATTACCTGTCACACCAAGTTCTTTTAACAAAAGGTGTTTTAATGGACTTACTGTGATACTACTTCTGGATTTACCAACAGTAGACCAGAACACTACAAAGTGCCTGATGGAGCAGAGGAAGGTCCCAGGAGCATATGCTGGTAGCCTGAAGAGCTGGCTGATGATTTAATACTGGCTGTACTTCACTCTTTCCTTATTCCCACTAAATTTTCCTGAAGGCAGTTAAAATACCTTGCTGCAATGAAGCTTTTTTCCATATAAACATTTTTGGAAGTTTGCAAAGGGTGTATAGCCGTAGTGGGGAAAAAAAAAAGGGTTATGCAACCCTTTTGCAGATATGTGAGAAAATAGGTTTACTTATGAACACAAGAAGAAAATGGGGCAAGGCATGCAAATGCCAGCTCAGTGCACTGAATGATCAATAAAGCAGTCTTTCGCCTTAGGCAAATTCTTTCTGCTTGAGAAAGCATCAGACAAGAAATTTGGATTTGACATCTATGTGAAAGCTTGATTTCTGTACTTTGAGAGTAATCTCCCATCATGAAGATCTGGAGCTGTTCTATCAGCTGCAGAGCATAAGCAGTTGGCTATAGACTTCACAAATTCTAGGTGATTCTTCACACCATCAGCTCCTCTATCTGTACAGGAAACAGCCAAAGTTCTTCTTGCACCTTCTATAGCAAATAGATTCACAGTGTTTTAAAACTAGGTGGAAGAAGGGTGAGAAATGATACCGCAGATCAGTGTTAGGCTGACTGATCACTGCTGTGTTTAATATCAGAAATAGCAGCAGTCATTCTGGTTACAGTTGGGTTTGGGGTTTTGGGGTTTTTTTTGTTAAGTTGAAAATAATTGCTTATTAACCAGCTGCTGCAATAGCAAATGCCACGTTATTTTTAAGCAGGTAGTTTCAAAATGATGCTGCTTTTAACAGGCTCAGAGTTGTGCTACCCTGCCAAGCTTCTTCCCACTACTGTGACTTGCTCTTAGAAAAACAACAGCAACATGTCTGGCTACAACAGGCCATCAGGGCCACGCAGGAAAATACAGCAGCCAAGGAGAGGAGGAGCTTTTGCCGATGATTCATTAAATGTAAATCAAGGTTAACACTAGAAGTATTCAAAATTTTCCTTTATATAGTATTAGCCCTTACGTAGAATTAAATGCACAATATGGAGATGTCCTAGCTCCATGTTGCATTAACTCTTGCTACTATTTTGACCCTGTTGACTAACAGAGTGCAATGGCTTCATGCTATTTACAGAACCTCCTCCTTTATGGCATAGCTCAGGTTCCTTTGCTCCTCTTTGAAGTCACAGAATAGCCTCAGAGAAAGAAACCAGAAGCAAATCCCTGTCTCTCCACCCAAGCCTCTTTTCTAGAAAGGAGTAAGTATGTAAGAAAAACTTGTGATCTGTAAAAGCCACAGGAACTTAAGGCAATTTCATCTGGGAATACTACTGAAATGCCTCCTACCAGCATTTCTCATATTGCAGGGAACAAATTTGTGAGCCTATAAACACAGAAGAAGCATCCCAAGCTGCTCTGGTAGTGACCCACTCCTGTCAGCATTTTGACCATGCCAGCTTCCCTCCACACTGTTCTGAGCATTCTGATCCATCAGCAGCTGTCTTTTAGCTATGCTCCATTGCTCTCCATTCCCCCATCCTGCTGCTTCTTGTGTTTGCTTCATTCATTCCTTTTAAAAGTGCAAAGAGATTTCACAAGACTTCTTTTTAATGGGATTAAATAATCTTGAGGTTTTTTTTCCCTACTAGTTTACTCCATAATGAAAATATGTCCTCTAGCCACACACATCCTGAACACAAATTTCTTCTTAATCTATGGTCTAGTACTTCATTTCTAAAAATACAGACAAGCAATGAAGAGAAACTCACAGATACTTTGTGGCTTCTTGCAAGAAGCCACAAACATGAATGGAAGGGTCTCTGCAACTGGAGAATTATTTGCTACTCCACATTTCTAGCATTTGCTGCTCCACATTTGAGCATTTGCTCTTTCAACGGAGCAGTATTAATTTACATAAACACATGCCTACCTAATTTGGAAGTACAGTGACTTGTGTTTCCTACATGGACTTCGGGAGGTGCAACCATGTGGCTTCACATGGAAACTTCCTAACAGCTAATATAATACTTCTTCACTTTAAGGGCACAAAATTCTTTTAAATCTACCAAAACCTACTCAGTTCAACCAAGATCATATTTCAGATATTTAGTTTCAATATCTAATACTCCTTAATTGTTTTCATTCAATACCTTCTCCTATTTTTTCCAAAACCCAATTATACAGAAATTCTGCACTGCAAAATAATTTGCCTATTAAGGTATGGGAAATCCTCCTTCACTTGTTCAAGAATGGATGTCAAAAGGATGAAATCTGGAGAGGGGAGGGATTGTGGTAGTGTTCCCCCACCAAGTAATAGTACTACTTGTACCAATTGATTTGTTCTGATACTTTTCAAAAATAGATTTTCTCCTGATACCAAAAGACCCCAGTAACTGCATTTCCTATAGGGGTCTTGTCCTAAACAACAGGAGCAAGGCACACCTTCCCTTTAGAGATATACCTATTTTCACTCTTATTTCTGTCTCTCCAACCCTAAGGGAATCACAGCATCATTAACTTAAGAGCCGAACAGTGAGGAAACAGTTTCCAAGAGAGAAAACTCCCCTGTGACATATAGAAATGAAAACACTTCTCAGATTGTCCAAGTGCAAGTAGTAAGACTCTGGAGACAAAACAAAGTTGGAGAAAATCAGTTCTCGTGAAATAAATCCCTACTTGGAGAGACCTTTGTAGTTGATACAAGTTTAGAAGTGAGCAAGTAAATGGCCTGTACTTTACTTAGCTTAGCATTTACTATTAGTCATGTCTGTCTTTGGTTTATGGTATCTGCCTGAGCAGTACAGAGAGCCCTATGGCATTACTGTCTAGGAGGCACAAAATACTGCTGTGGTTACAGTCAGTATTTGGATCCTTTACTGGCTGCTGTTAGGAAAGCTCATACTTCAAAGCAAGTCTGCTGACCCAAAAAGTCCCAAGAGCCACAAACCATCGGGATTCTTCCCAAACCCAGAAGCTCTGATTTAGGAATGTTTAAGCACGCTCAAGTCCATGTACACAAGTATGTGGTTTGCTTTTGGATTTCAGAGGTGGAGGGAGTAGATATGGAGCTACTGTGTATAGGTGGTTTTGTTAATGAGGCAGGGGTGGAAGGAAGTGAAAGCACAGGAAGCACCAGTGTTTTGAAGTCTTCCCAAAAACAGCCTTTGCACTAATATGAAAAGATGAGGCAAAATTTTTCAGAAGGCCTGGGATTAGGCATAAACAGCTGAGAATCCAGGCACATTTGTAAAATAGGAAAATTTCATTTTTACATATGTCCTAAGGACATCCTTACAGGAGACAATACCCCCTTGCCTAAGAGTGTGAAGTCTTCCATTAGGAAGCTGGGAAGATGCACTGAGTGCCAGAGTAACTTCACCCTCCAGTTCCATCAGTAAATACACACTGTAGCCTTTCCTTGATGAGAGGGCAGTGCAGTAGTCACACTACAACACACTTGCACCAGACAGTTTGCATCTGAGCATC